GGTCACGTCTTTCACCCATCTCCTGTACAAAGCTCAAGATCCATTCAGCCCATGTAAATATTCCCAGTTCCTAGAAAAAATGTTATGTACTTAAATTTGCTATTGAAAATTGTCTAAAAAAGAATTCGAAGGTAAGACCAGTCACTGCTTCACAGATCAAGAAGTTCAAGAAGAGATTTTGTTGGGTGGACCAACTCCTTTGTAGGTCAATTCCTACACTCATCTTGCGTGGAAAAAAAAAAAACTTGAGGGTAGGACCAGTCTTTGCTTAACAGATCAAAAAGCTCAGGAAGATATATTACTGGGTAGACCAGCCCCTTTGTAGGTCAGATCTTACACCCATCTCCTGCGCAAAGCTCAAGATCCATTCAGCCCATGAATATGTAGACAGTACTAAACAAATTTTATGCACTGAGATTTACTATTGAAAATTGTACAAAAAAAAAAAAAACAAAGCAAAAAAAAACTTGAATGTACGACCAGTCTTTCCTTCACAGATCAAGAAGCTCAGAAAGAGATATTGCTGGGTGGACCAACCCCTTTGTAGGTCAGGTCTTACACCCATCTCCTGTACAAAGCTCAAGATCCACTCACCACATGTACATGTAGAAAGTCCTGGTTCCTTTAGAAACAAATTTTTATGCACTGAGATTTACTGTTGAAAATTGCGTGGGAAAAAAAAAACTTGAGGGTAAGATCAGTCTTTGCTTCACAGATCAAAAAGCTCAGAAAGAGATTTTGTTGGGTGGACCAACCCCTTTGTAGGTCAGGTCTTACACCCATCTCCAGTACAAAGCACAAGATCCATTCAGTGCATGTACATGTACACAGTCTTTGTTCCCAAACAAATTTTTATACACTGAGATTCACTGTTGAAAATTGTACAAAAAGAAAAACAAACACAAAGAAAAAAAAACTTGAATGTAGGACCAGTCTTTACTTCACAGATCAAGAAGCTAAGGAAGAGATTTTGTTGGGTGGACCAACCCCTTTGTAGGTCAGGTCTTACACCCATTTCCTGCACAAAGCTCAAGATTAACTTAGCACATGTACATGTAGAAAGTCCTGGTTCCTTTAGAAACAAATTTTTATGCACTGAGACTTACAGTTAAAAATTGCGTGAAAAAAAAGAAAAAAGAACTAAAAAACTTGAGGGTAGGACCAGTCTTTGCTTAACAGATCAAAAAGCTCAGGAAGAGATTTTGTTGGGTGGACCAACCCCTTTGTAGGTCAGGTCTTACACCCATCTCTTGTACAAAGCTCAAGATCCATTCAGCGCATGTACATGTAGACAGTCTTTGTTCCCAAACAAATTTTAATGCACTGAGATTTACGGTTGAAAATTGTACGAAAAAAAAAAAACACAAAGAAAAAAAAAACACTTGAACGTAGGACCAGTCTTTCTTCACAGATCAAGAAGCTCAGGAAGAGATATTGCTGGGTGGACCAACCCCTTTGTAGGTCAGGTCTTACACCCATCTCCTGTACAAAACTCAAGATCCATTCAGTGTATGTACATGTAGAAAGTCCTGGTTCCTTTAGAAACAAATTTTTATGCACTGAGATTTACTGTTGAAAATTGCGTGGAAAAAAAAACTGAGGGTAGGACCAGTCTTTGCTTCATAGATCAAAAAGCTCAGGAAGAGATTTTGTTGGGTGGACCAACCCCTTTGTAGGTCAGGTCTTACACCCATCTCCTGTACAAAACTCAAGATCCATTCAGTGCATGTACATGTAGAAGGTCCTGGTTCCTTTAGAAAACAAATTTTAATGCACTGAGATTTACTGTTGAAAATTGTACGAAAAAACAAAACAAAAACAAAAACAAAAACAAAAACAAAGAAAAAAAAACTTGAATGTAGGACTGGTCTTTCCTTCACAGATCAAGAAGCTCAGGAAGAGATTTTGTTGGGTGGACCAACCCCTTTGTAGGTCAGGTCTTGCACCCATCTCCTGTACAAAGCTCAAGATCCACTCACCACATGTACATGTAGTAAGTCCTGGTTCCTTTAGAAACAAATTTTTATGCACCGAGACTTACTGTTGAAAATTGCATGGAAAAAAAAAAAAAACTTGAATGTAGGACTAGTCTTTCCTTCACAGATCAAGAAGTTCAGGAAGAGATTTTGTTGGGTGGACGAACCCCTTTGTAGGTCAGGTCTTACACCCATCTCCTGTACAAAGCTCAAGATCCATTGAGCGCATGTACATGTAGACAGTCCTGGTTCCTAAACATATTTTTATGCACTGAGATTTGCCGTTGAAAACTGCATGGAAAAAAAAAATTGAGGGTAGGATCAGTCTTTGCTTCACAGATCAAGAAACTCAGGAAGAGATTTTGTTGGGTGGACCAACCACTTTGTTGGTCAGGTCTTACACCCATCTCCTGTACAAAGCTCAAGATCCATTCAGGGCATGTAGACAGTCCTGGTTCCTAAACAAATTTTCATGTACTGAGATTTACTGTTGACATTTGTATGAAAAAAAAATTTGAAGGTAGGATTAGTCTTTGCTTCACAGATCAAGAAGCTCAGGAAGAGATTTTGCTGGGTGGACCAGACAGTCCTCGTTCCTAAAGAATTAATAGGTACAGAGATTTGATCTTTAAAATTTTAGTGAAAAGAAATCTTACAGATTCAGAGGTAAGCCAATCATAAACTTAAGGTGAATGGAGAATTTCTAAAAGTTGAGAAAAAAAACTGAGAGTCATTT